CTTTCCTGTACGATGGTTGGAAATCTCCCTGTTTATATTGGATAGGGGATTATCTTTATGCTCAACTACCAACCTGGAGGACCTGGAGCTATGGTGTAAGACAGAGGTCGCTTACCTCCCTATGAATCTCAGGGTGGGGAAGTTACCGTCTCCATGCGGGTATCGAACCCGCGTCGTAGTGGTCTAAGCAATCGAGTAGGGTCTGCACTAATTTATTGTAATTTATTATTAATTATTATTTTTATTTGTTATCTTTGTTTTTGTTATTAAATACCGCGAAACGGAATTTGAACTCAAGATATAAAATTGCAGGCGCATTAACTCGTTCGTCCACCGCGGCCCAGGAAAATAAAATATGACACTCACAAAATACTTTTTTAATATAATAGAGAGATAAAATAGCACACTTAACATTAAAATATTTATATTTATATGATATATAAATATAAACATTAATATCATCGAACGCACGAACTTGGGAGGAGTTGGGGTGTGGAATTGAAAACAGAAATTATTATTAAGTAATTATGTTAATTTAATGTAATTAGTGATATTAATTAATGTCGTAAAATTTGGTTTTCTTGGTTTATTTTTGTCAATAGCAGTGAAAATAAATATTGCAAATAATGACTCAATCAATGATGAAGCATAAGGGAAATGTGACGACAGAAAGGCAATATATATAATCGATAAGCAATTCGTTCTAAGAGATGTACTCTAGGAATTCACAGAAATAAAAAATCTGAAGAATGTGGAAAAAACAGAGTGACGAATAATGGGTAAATCCTATTATCTGTCAAACATTTAATAAACTAATCATTTTAAAAAATGTGATTTCCTCGTTATATTTTACTGAGTAAAATAAACATATATTAAATCCGGGAATAAATTCCTATCCATTAGAAAAAAATAATAATTTGTAGGAAAAAACGAGCGATGTGTAATTCTTATCATTTTTAATATACAGAAAAATTGACAAGTTTTTGTGTATTTCACATCCTAACCATTTAAAATATTTTCTGTAATTTTCCTGGACACTGATGTCACAAAATATATTCAAATTTAGAATTAGTTTTAACAATGTCAGTAAAATTTCTTATAATGGAATTCCTTTAATGTCCGATACTTTTTTATTTTCATCAAAATTAAATTCCACTCAACAGCTGCTCTATGTGTCAGTTAAAAGAGTCCGCCCCCTCCCCTACCGATGATTACATACCTCGGATAGTTAATTAATGAAAAAAATTGTCAAAGTCTTTTATTATTATCCACTGCCTCACTAAAGCTTCCTTTTTTTTTAGCCTTACTTCTTATATGTTCTAAAAAATCCGATTCCGGTTATAAGAAATACATACCTAATCCGCAATATAAAATAAGTACATATATTGTATTTGTTATATTAAAACTAAAAAATATTTATTTATTTTGTTATTGTCTCTATCACATTGGCACATTGTAAAATATATTTTAGTTTATAATTTATTAGGTTTATGTGGAGTGGAGTAGATCAGTGGTACGATGGGGCATCCAATTCTCAAGGTTGCAGGTACGAATCCCGACTCATGGTAGAAAAAGTATTTAGTCCGTTTCATCTGCCGTGGGGCGACCCTGGGATTGGGAGACCCTACTGGGATACACCCTACCTCTATAAAGTGGCAGAAGACAAATACCTTTAATTAAATAATTAATTAAGGGGAAAATCTGGTAGTTAAGCGAGATCGGTCAAATCACCTCCTTAAACAACCGTTGACCAAGAAACAGTACTTTTCCTAAGTACTGAACCCAAGGCCTACTTCATAGATTGTAGTGGTACAAATTTTTTAAATATTTTTTTTTCTTAAGTTTATAGTATACCATTTAAATCTGTAATTTTAAAAGCATTTACTTGCGTTCACTGTGGTCCGTCAAATCTTTACGGATAAATAACTTAATAAAAAATAACTCATATTGGCACTAAATATTCTTTTATTTATCACAGGTTGTGTTCTTAGAATCATTACATCCCTGTACCACAACAACCCATGAAGGGTCTTAGATTCAGTACTAATTAGGGAAAGCACTGTTTCTAGATTAACGATTGTGCAAGAAGGTGATTTGACCGGTATCACGCTCAACCGCCAGGTTTTCCCCCTTAATCAATTATTTAATTAAGAGTACCCACTTTTTAAAGGCTGGGTTTGCCCCAAGAGGGTCTCCCGACCCATGGGCTCCCCACGGCCAATGAAACTGATAAATAAATTTACTGAGCTACACCACTCCCAGAGAATCATTAAACTATGTGTTAGAAATATTTCTTCATAATTCGATCTGTATAACTTTAATTCAAGGAAGCGCAGATTTTTTTTCATACAGGGACCAATATACCCGGATTCTAAACAAGTGTGTCATCATGTGACGAAATCCCAATCAATGGAATTAATGCGTTTCACTAATTATATATTTATAAATATATATCTGATTATAAAGATCAAGGTACAAGAGAGATAACACGAATTGAACTCTGTTTACCAGCTGTAATCAGTTCATCTTAATTCCATCCCCACTTGACTGTTATCAGTAGCTCTTCCTCTCTTATGCATATCAAGAAGTGACATCTTCATATCTTAAACTTTCTTATGTTATACCATAATTCAGAATGAAAATAAAACGTTTATTGTAAAATTTCATAATTATATAGTAACGAGCAATCAGCTGTAGTTATGTAAATAATAACAAGGCATTTCCATTATATTTATAACTTCGAGTTTATAAATATAGATTATTGGAAGATATTTATATCGCGGAAAACTTGAATCCGTGTTTTAGACGAATAAATACGTTTTAAAATCATCTGAGTTTAACTAACCAAATCTCGCAAAATGTTCAGTATATGTGCTTCAGTATATATGTATGTTATGTCAACAGCCTACCATATTAACGAAACTGAAATTACGTATTTAAAGCAAGTACATATCTGAGATAATTTTCTTGAAAACGGCTCCTTTAAATGTATAATTTAATATCAGCTAGCTTATCTCTTCGTTGAAAGAGCCTGACAGAGCATCATTGTCGAATGTTTAAAATGGCTTCCTCTAAATTTATGTTTAATTATATTATTTATTTTAAATAACTAACTGTTTATAGAAGTAATATTAAGATAAATTAAAACTATGAAATAACTTGATAATTAGGTAAACGAGAAAATATGAAAAGTGTATTTTCAGATTAAAAATAAATTTTTGAAAAAAAAGGTAGTAATATATTGCTCTATTATATAAAAACGTGTTTAGTGACCGTGTCATATTTTATTTGACACCACACTTCTTATTCTCAGAATTATTTCTCCCTTATCATGGTAACAAATTGGCAATAAGAATAATTATATAATAATATAAATTGACAATAAGGCACGATGTATAATTTAATGTATAATCTGAACTGTGGTTTCGTTCGGCTTATTTTATGTTGCTAAAAAATAATATAATCTAAACCTAATAATATATGTAAATTACAGTTATACAATTTGAGCAACGAATAGTACAATTAAATGAACAGTTGTATAATTTGTAAAATGGGGGCTGGTTCGCCGTTTAGCGGGTAGGAGTTACCTTCCTAGAGTTTATAATAAATCTCTTGAAAGCAGAGAATTCTAGATAAAGTGATAGATAATGTAAATTATAGAATATATTGAAGAGCGACTAAAACTATTGAATAATAATTTCTTGATTTATATTATTAAATGAAAAATCAATGTTTTCATGAAAACTAAATGAAATTTTCTAGAAAACTTTATTATATCCATTGGATTTTTTATATTCTCTTAGGAAAATAATAGGTCCACTCCATTACGAGTTTCTCCATCAAAATAATTTGCGGTTGCACACCATGCAGCGTGCGGTTTTTCTATTCCAGATATCTACAGGACTCAGATTTTGGAACAGAAACTAACACAATCACTAATAAGACTTTTTTTTAAAAAACTCAGAGTAATAATTAAATTAAATTTACTGAAAATTACACAAAATCTACGTAAGTGTAATGTCAATGGAATTGATCAAACAATACAAAAATAAATTAAATTTTTTAATCAAACCTAAATAAATCTTATAAAATGTTGGATTAATCTAATTCACATTCCACATGATCAATGCTTTCTACATTTCACATCCATTATATTGTTAACAGTTATTTATAAAAATTTTAATTATTAAATGAAATTGATACTAGGCAATTTACATACTACTTTCCAAATTTCTTTCAAGCTTAGGTCAAATCGAAAGAGCCGTTTTCAAACTATAGACGTGTCAAATAATACGTTTACTGATCCGAAAACGGAAGTCTTTTTTTTTTTTATAAAGTGGATGGACTATGATATATGAGCCAAATCGAACGTACGGTTTTTGAGATATAGACGTATCAAGGAAAACACGTTTGCGCAAATATAAGATAAAATAGTCACCGGAGTTAAATAAAACTAATACTATATTACCTTTTTACCGATATATACCTTTTGTCCAACTTTGAGCCAAATCGAACGAGCCGTTTCTGAAATATTGACATATCTAAACAAACACGTATGCGCGCGCGAAAGTGGAAGTGCTGGATGCATTTTGATAAAACTGATATACACCCTAGGTACCAATCCGTACAACCCCTAAACATTTCATGAAAATTGGATAAACTGTAGTAGGTAATATGCCCATTACATCGAAAATTTTCGATTCTGAGTAAAAAAAAAAAAGAAATAGTTTAACCTCTCGCAAGAACACAATGATTCCCTACCTTCGGTGGTGAGGAAGCAAAATGAATTAGCCGGTCTTTTAATATAATGGTATTTTTTATTTTTGTAGGTAATTTATTTTTTGATATTTTTTAATAAAGATAATTTATATTTTTATTTAGGTAATTTTTAAAGACCTAAGTAATTTTTCCTATATCACTTTGCTATTTCATTTCATAATATTTAAACTAATATATGTATGCTCATCTCCAAAGTATAATCAGCTAAGCGTTTATTTTAGAATGGAGGAGCGAAGCCAGAGTACACCAGTGATAGCTAACAATTGCCATGGTTCGGCCCAGAGCCTTCGACCTCACTCGGACACTGAGGCCAAGAGACCAAGAAGACTGAACTCGAGGAGAGCCAAGTCGCCATCTTCAAGTTCCGAGCAGGATTCCCCAACGAAACCTCAGCGTAGGAGGCCTTCGACGGTAGTTCCGGACAGGGAGAGGAGTAACAGCCTCAGCAGTAGGGCTTCCTACAGGAGGAAGATGTCCATGACCGGAAGGGAGACGGGGAAGTTGCCCTGGTGTGCCTGTTGGGGCAACGGCTGTATATAGACACATACACTTAAAAATAAAAATATTGATTTATACAGTTTCGACTGTTAAATAATAAATGTATTATATTTTCTAAGGAACGTGAGATTCAGTCAGTAAATAAAACAAATAATTTGGCGACGTTTTGATACTTTTTTTTTTTCATATTAATGCTCGACAGTGATACACTGTATGGTGCGCTATTTTCCTAAACGTTGTTCAGTGTCAAGGGCGCCTAGACGATGGTGGCATGGTGTAAATTGAGCCATCAAAATTTATAAGAGGGGTACATTTTTATGGGGTTGTGAATTTCTGATTGGACTGGTTTTAAGAACTATAACGAAATAAAATTTCTTGAAGCGGGTTGTGTGCCATCGTTTTTGGGAGGATGGGCACTCATTTTCAGTGTACTGTCAATGGTACTAAATAAGTGGAGAGAATAAGTCCGAAAAGTGGGTGTAGTGGCACTTTTTGCCAATTGTTGACGCCTACCTTGAGGTTGCATCTACGTACTAACCATAATATAATTGTCAAGATTCATTGCCAGGGGTCACAGATAAATAGTTATTAATCGACCTAGGTTGGAATCCAACTTACATCGTTTAGAACTGGCCATTCTGGGGCTCAAACCCCAACGTGCTCGGCCAAAAGATACTTCACCTCTAGCAATTAAACTCTAGGGTATGAATATGGAAAATATAAAGCCTTGAAACCGACAAAACAGTTGTAATATATATATAACCAAGATAAATTATATTTATTTTTGTAAATTCAGAATTAAAGTCTTATTAGAAAAGTGCATTTGGGAGAAGGAAAGATATTTTGAATGTAAAGAATTAAACAATTAATCAAATTGGTAATAGTTTGCCAAGAATTGAGCTAAATTTCAAATATATTTTAATATTTTTCATTATACATTGTAATATTGCTGATTACAGTAGGTATGAAAAAAAATGTGTTTTCTTAGTAAAATCTCTATTTTTTTAGTACCCGTGTGTACTGGCAGTAACTTAAATAATTAAATAATATATTCCATGAATTAAAGTTTTATATTTAAGAATGAAACTACTGGTGAAAGAAAAAAAATCTTTGAAGTTTAGATAAAGATGTTCAACAAAAAATAAATAATTTTCTTTTTAAATTTAAATTTAAATAGACATATTACAAATTGTTTTTAAAAACATTAAACAAGCTCTTTTATTAATGCTATTTTTTTCATATTTCGATGAAAAGTGAAGTGCTTTGAATGATTATCTCGTATTAAAATCAGAGTTTTTGATTAATGTAATATGATTTAATCAAATTGCCTTTTTGTACTGGATTTCTGAAAAGTATTGAGGACAGTCAACGTTTTAAAATATATAATTTCGATCAGCATTTATCAAATTTGAAAATTACTATTCAAAACACTAATACTTGCAACGTGACCTCTTAATATACAATATTATGTTTTACAGTTAGTTATAAATAAATAAATTAGGTTGACTAATTATTTACATACTAATAATCTTAATTTGGATATAAACTGATTAATTATGTATATTTCTTTAGAATTTGTTTTAACTGTTTTCCAATAGCTACAATAGATGACAAATAGCTTAGTTTTAAATATATAGAAAATATGTGGAAGAATTTACTACAAACAAATTAAAAATCTGCCTAGAACTTTAAATACCAAGTGTATTATGAATAAACTATACCTATTATAAATAATAATGATTTTAAAATATAAAAATTGTCTCAGCTCAATTTTGTTTGAATTTGAATACTATGCACTGTCGGATTCAAGGGGTTGGGCTTTTCGACTGAAAATCTCCACAAAAAAAGCTATTTATTTATTTGTTGTCCTAATTTTATTCTATGAGGGATAATGGTCTATTTTTTAACTACAACACATGCACTTCTACAAATCAATTTAAGCACGTGTCAGGAAAAAATATAACAAATTTATCGTTAGCTCCCAAAACTAAATCCTGGTTCTATTTAGTGAATTTTATTTATAAATATTGATTAAAATAGTTACGGAAACATCAAATATCTCTTTAGTATATTTATTGTATAAATATTTCTTTCACTAAATTATATATATATATGCAAATTAAATATATGGAATTAATATATTTTTCAATATTACTGTAATTTAAAACTAATGTACTTTAGATATTTGCAATCAGAGATGTAATTGAGAGAAAATTTATACGAAATAAACTTTATACTAAATAAGTACAAAAAAAAATATTATTACAATAAATGTTTATTTTTATTTATGAAATTTTGCTCTCATCTATAAATTTATTTTTTATCAAGTCAAAGTATAATCTTTATTTAAAAAATCATTATTTCAAATATATATATTTATATATATAGTGTTATGTTATATTTTATTTAAGAGAAAATTTATATAAATAATGTTCAAAGCAGTATTTAAAAATTGAGATTTTATTTATTTATTATTTTTTGTTAATACTTTGTATATTGATAATATAACACTTATTTTAAGAATTTCATTGAAATTTATTATTATTAATAGGATTAGCTTTATACAGAATAAATATATATTTTTTATAAAGTCATGATTTTGATTACGAACCATGAATAAATCCCTAAACAGCCAAATCACACAAGAATATTGACGGCGATGATTAGAATAGCGTTGTAAACATATATGATAATCAGGCCCTGTGAACTCGACGATCGTGATAGACCAGCGAAGGCAACGTGTCATTGGCTGATAAGTTCTAACAACAGTTCGACACAACCCAGCGGATATTCTCCTCCATTATCTAACTAACATCATGTGAATAATGTGATACTAAACAGTATTATCATCCTAATTCCATGAGATTAGCAGAGTATTCAAATTTATTTCAACCGAAGGTTTATTATCATTGAATTCGTATTGTGGATATCAGTCTGAGAGAAGCTCGCCGAATCACATGAGGACTTAATCTCTCCTAAAATTTACATATTTTTTCCTGATGGCTATACTAACTGTATACTAACCTTGCAAAAAATGTTTCAATAGTTTTTACTTATTTTTAATATCGATTTTTTTTTTTTAAATTGTAGAATCCGGCCTAAGGAATGTACTACCGTATTTACTTAAAACATCTTGATAGATTGATAAGGAAGTTAACATTTATGAATATTAAAGTTGGTGTAATGATACGATGCCACTCACTACAGATTGCGGTTCCAGGCAAGTAGATTTCGTCCTCAGGTATAGACGTTTTAAGTTTCGTTTTAACTTTTAAGTGTGTTCAGCAGCTAACTTCTACTAGTGATCTACCAAAATGTTAAAGTAGATATGGAAGTATGTTTCCCAAGCGTTAAAAGAATATCCGAATTTCTGTAGTCGGGTTTATTTTAATTAAAATATTTTTGTTATTATAACACTTTTAGTTTTTAGCTTCATGATATAAGATACTTTGGACTCCACTTAGACAAACGTCTAACTTGGAATCCTCATACCAGACTGAAACGACATGAAACCGCTCGACGTTTCCAATTACTTCAGCACTTATTAGACAAACGCTCTAAGCCCCCATTCAATTACAAAAGACTCATATACATGACTACAATAAGACAAATTTGGACTTACGGAGTATTGGACTTACGCACTATTAGACATCCTTACTTTGTCAAAAATAAAATCATCCATAACGACCTTAATGTTCCTTATGTTACCTGGCCCAATCCAGATACCTATCCTTCCATAACAAACTCCAGAACCATCCAAACCCTCTCATTTCTAACCTTGCTTCCTCTTCGACAACCCTCTGAGGCGTCTGAAAAGAAGATGGTCTCGAAATCTCCTTTTGTAAATACATTTTTAGAGTGCTACCAGTGGGTAGTTTCTCAACAAGTGGTTTCATGTTATTATATTCTTTTGTTCACATTTACTGAATGTATTTTTATTTGTAATACAGTTGTAATTAGCATCAATAAAAAAAATTACATGAAATCATTTCAAATCAATTGATAATCAAGATACATAAACTATAATACATCTTTTTCAGTTTTTCATGGTATCAGCATACATACCTATCAGCAGATAAATTAAACACAATTCACACAATAATTTTCTAAAATTTTTAGCCCTTTTCAAAACACTTATAAGATCTCACTGAATAATTTAAGATACCAAACTTTAAAATCGATTAAGCCGCTTGCTCAAAAATTTGTTATATATCTTCAGAAAATTTATTAAACATATTTTATTCTTTCATAGGCCAGTTTTTTAGCTCGAATGGTTCAAAAACACTCACGGATCCTCACCGAATAACTTAAGATATTATTTTTTTTTTATTTTACATTATATTTGCAACTGTGATACAACACATATAGCAAACGTGCTTTCGTTCGTTCTGTCTGCTATTTATTGTTTATTTATTGTTTATATTTTGCGCATATCCACTGCCTTTTAAGTCTTCTTTGAGGCTCACCAGGACAAGTTGATGAGGGTGATTAATATTTGGAATGTAGGATTTTATTATTGGTGTGTTCATGCCATAGTATATGGTGTGATCTGAAATATACAGGCGTGCATTTACGATTTTGCAAAGTATTTTGTACTGTGCGGATTGAATTTTCTTTATGTGGACGTGTTTTGCGGAATCCCATAGTTCTGCTCCGTATGTCCAAATAGGTGTTAGTATGGTGGTGTAGATTAGTCATTTATTTTTTAAGTTGAGAGGATATCTGTTGTCCAAAAGATGTGACAGTTGTTTAAATCGTCTGGTCAGTTCTTGTGATTTAATTTGGTATGTATGTTCCATGTTAGTTTTTTTGTCCGGAATCATGGGATTTCATCGAATAATTTGAGGCATTAAATTTAAAAATCGATTCAGGTGTTCACTCAAATAAGCCTTACATAGATTTTAGCTAACAACCCAAACCTCTTAGTCGCGTAACAAAAGACAAGATTTTCACAATTAAAATTTCTTTAAACAGTAGAATATACATGTGATTATACCAGAAAAAGACTCTTCTCATCATTACACTTTTACAGTGCTAAATGTCTCTCTTTATGGTAATTTTCATTTTAAAGATTAGTTGTTTTTCGATTTGTTAACCAAATTTTTTTTAATTTATTTAATGAAATTTACAACTGTATAAACAATACAACTAGTAAAAATGCACACATTAGAAAACATGACATGAACAGACTTGAAGACATACAGCCCAGTGGTAGCACTCCTTAACCAAAATTTAAATTGATAATTAAGTATTGAGATTACTGAAATAAAGATTGGATAGGCGTTGATGACTTTGGGGTTTTACGCCTCTAAACCATAAATAACGTAACATAACATAACTAGTTCTGTTTTCTTTTAAACATTTTCTTCATTACTTGGAAGATATTTCACTGCCTAACGTATTTCACAGCCATTATATTCTTAAAAATTACATTAATTTTAACTGTTAGATCAAATCACCAGAGGACTTAAGCAATATGTCTCAAATTTATATTATTTTTTTTCGTCTGATAGTTATATGAACTGATTGTCCATGGTGCAGAACCCTTTTTACCGAATTATTAACATTCGCAGGAAACTTCGGAAATAGCTTCATCTCATCGTAATCTTCAACTATTTTATTTACGAAAATTCTCGGAATCGGGGCGTCTTCAATCTGCAGATCTATTATATTTGTTTATTTGCTGTTTATAGTTTTTATTTGTCAGGTAATAAAAACTCCTAAATACCCATTTGCTTTCTACTTGGATCATAAGATAATTTGATCACAAAATAGATAAAAAAAGTCGCCTTCAAAAATATTGAACCGTTTGGCGTGACCTACACTCGAAATTTTCAAAATAACGAGGTTATATGGGGCAAACGACCCAATGTTTTTGTGGACCACCTTTTTTATTGATTTTGTGGTCAAATTATGTTAAGATCCAAGTAGGAAACAAATGAGTATTTATTATTCTA